CCAAGTGATCTCGTCGGTTAAAAATAAAACATACAAGATGCTTCTGCATCAATTCTACATAACCGTTGGACAGAAAATAGAATTAATGCATAAAACTCATAAATTAACTTGGAAGACATATAACTACTTTTTAAAATTAAATTCTTCCGTTGGTTTGAATTTACTTAGAAGATAATCAACATCATTGCAGCGAAAACTTAATAATGAAATACATTCTTTTAGTTCAGGAGCATTTTTTGGTCCTTATCTACTCTCTGAAAAATTAACCACGTTGGTGTAAAATTTATTAGAGATTTAAACCTCAAACTTAAACTCATTATAATATTGTCATCATCAACGTTGGTCAGAAAATGACAATACCATAATCTGACTTAAATAAATCGGACTACTCCTCTAATTTAAAATTTTCCGTAGGTTCCAATTTAATTAGATGATAAATATAATCATAGCAGCAGAAACTTAAACTTAATTTGTGAATTTTACCCACAGAAAAACTCCTCTTAACTAATTTTATTTGAGCCATTAACCAATTTCCAGGAAAACACTAAATTCACTGGAAAAAGAAAAAGAAAAGGGCTCATTCTTCTCAGTTCATTCGGCCCGAGCAGCAAAATGGCTCGGCCTGCTTGCGCGCTCGTCGCTCTCACGCGTCCCAGGCCGCAACATGGGCCTAGGCCAGGAATTCTTCCTCCTGCCTGGGCCTAAAGCCGGTCAGGCTAGCGCTGGCCGTTGATCTTGATCGGACGGCCATGCGCGACTCTCGAGCGAACAAAAACGCAGCGCCATCCGGCTCCTCCGAACCATAGCTTCATTCTTCTCCCTTCCTCCTTCTCTTTCAGCGCTGCCATACGAGCGAGCGAGCAAGAGCCGAGCGGCGGACCCGAGCGGGAGGGAGTGCCGGCGAACGAGCGACACGACGCCTGGCTCGAGGCTTCCCTTCGGCAGGCCCGTCCATGGGGCCGCTGCAGCTCCTTCCGCTGGCGGGTGAAATCGAGAGATGGAGCTACCCCCCGGTCCCCTCGCCGCCGCGAGCGCTCATCCTAGGGTGAGCGCGCCGCCGTCGAGTGGTCCAGCATCGGCGCCGTGGCCACCCTCGGCCGGCGGCTTCCTTTCTTCTTCCCGGAGCGCGGAGCGGATCCGATGAGTTATTTCCTTTTTCTCTCGTTCTTCCCCTTCGCTTAGGGTTAGGGTTTCGACAGTGGCGGCGGGCGAGTTGTGTCCGGTGGCCGTTGCCCTTTGATTCGAAATCACCTTCTTCTAAACTTCTAGTATCTGATTCATGCGAAAAAGAACTACCCCAACTAGATCTACACACTAGTACGCCTCCCTCCCCTTCTCTTCTCTCTCGCCAGCGGCGTCCGAAGATGACGGAAACGACGGCGGTGCCACCGTAGGGCCCCTTGCCGGCGTGCGCGTTCGCCCGAGGCTGAGCGCGCCGCCGTCAAGTAGCCGTGCGGCGGTGCCCTGAGTCCGCGCCCCGACGAAATGTAGTGGCGGTGCGGCTCCCTTCCCGTGCGTCGGCGAAGCGGCGGCGCGGTCTACTTCCCGCGCGACGGCGGTGGTTACTGCGGCGGAGGAGCCCTGGTGAGCCCCATGTCTACTTCTCATTTAGGGTTTGGATCAATTCTTTGTTGATTTCTTTTCTGTTTTCTACCCCAAAATGGATCTACCCACTAACAACCTTGGCTCTGGTACCATCGATAGAAGTCTTGGACTATATAGGCGTAGATCTAGTGGGTAAAATATAATTTATATAAAGACTTTGGTTATGTACCTCGCCGGACCGAGTCGCGGCCATAGATGTAGCAGCGACGTGGAGGAGCTGTCCAGTGGTGGCGGTGAAGGCAGGTGGAGCTTCCCGTCGCTTACAGCGCGCCCTTCTAGATCGAACTAGGGCTAGGACGTCGGTGGGGCGCTGGCGGCTGCTGGTGAATCTCATGTCCTGTGCCCCAGCCCCCACCGTCCTTTTAATAGTGCTGCGCGACGGGGGGCCATCAGCCACTTAGAACTGGCTGAGTGCCCCCGATCAGGGCGTGAATCAAGGGCCAATTGGCCGTTGGGCCAACTGGTGGAGATCATCCTTACAGGGTGGACCACTAGATACATTTCTGTATGCCAAACTTAACTCATTATGTTTCGATTGAAGCACATACATATGTGTATACCATATTTCTATTGATATCGCATATGAACGTTAATTTGGTAAGTAAATAATATATACAAAAATTGAAGATGGTTACTCTTGTTAAAAAGCACATGAGAAGAATTTTTTGTTCCATAGTCTATATATATAATGCACCATGCATCAAATTAATGATCCAAATACAAAATGATATATAACCTATAATCACCATAATGTTTAGATACAGTAGTCACACCTTGTGTTCGTTTTCTGTACACATTTTCTACGACAAGCTAACAACAAATGAACTATTTAAGTACTATTAGTATTGGACAAATCAAAATTACCGCAAGAAACAACCTATATTCTTGTACTTCTTTGGTCTTTGCAACTGATGAAGTGGACGATCCTGTCATTTGGCAATGTGTAGTGCCAGCAGTCCAGCCTAGCACTTAACATGTCGGAACTATGAATGCTTCGTGACCGTGTTTTTTGTTGTTGACAATCTCATGACCGTGTTTGTGGTTGATGTGGAATTTGTGAACGTTGACTTGACCTTGCGCTATTCACTATTGGGCCACGGCATTTTATGAATTTTAAAACAAATTAAGAGAGAACATAAAAGACGCATGTACCCTTATTTTATTTTTTAATCAGACACTATCATCAAGGTGATTAATTGTGATTGATTGATAAATGAAAATTATTTAATGCAAAACTAGTTTTTGTCCTCTAGAATGTATTATATTTGATGATAAATTTTGAATGCTATATTACAGGACGGAGGGAGTACATTATATATATATACTATTTGTTAAACCAATGATATAAATAGTAATTCGTACGTATATATTTCTGCGCCTGCGCGTGCTTTATTTACATATTATTATGACTGAATATATTATTCAGGTTGGTGTTACGGTGTTACAAAAAAAGGGGAGCTCCTCCTTATCTATGAGTACATGCCTAACGGCAGTCTCGACCAGCACCTTTCCGTAATGGTAATGAGCAGGCGCTACAACATGGTGCTCCACTACGTCCACCATGAGCACGAGCACAGGGTGCTCCACCGCGACATCAAGGCCAGCAACGTCATGCTCGACTCCAGCTTCCGCGGCCGCCTTGGCGATTTTGGCCTCGCACGCATCGTGGGCTTCAACAAGGACTCGTACACGGACTTGGGCGTCGCCGGCACCTGGGGCTTCATCGCGCCAGAGTACTCAGTTTGCCACAAGGCCACGCGCAAGACCGATGTGTACGCTTCCGGAGTGCCGGTGCTCGAGATCGTCACCGGCCGGCGTGCGCTCGGCGGCGGCCAGCAGCGCCATGGAACGACGACGTTCCTGCTCCTCGCCGACTGGGTTTGGAAGCTTCACCAGGAGGGCAGGGTGGTGGTGGATGGCGAGTTCGATCCGGACGACGCCGTTCGGCTGCTGCTCCTTTGGTTGGCGTGCTGCAATCCGAACCCGTCGAACCGGCCGAGGTGGTGCAGGTCGTCGCCAAGTCGGTGAAGCCACTGGATGTGCCACTCGCCAAGCCTACATTCGTGTGGCCACCGGTAGGAGGGATTCAGTTGGAGCTTGACGATGAGCGATGATGTTGATAGTGAATTATTCGAAGCAGATTGGGAGGACACGTCAAGCGGCCATGGCCTGGCGATGAGCGCCCCGTCAGAGATCAACAGGAACAAGCAGGCAGCTGCATGTGTTGTTCAGTCTAGGAAATGTGGATCTGCTGACGAGTGTTACGTATAGTTGTTTGTGCAATATATTTCACTACTCCTCACCGCAACTGGCAATCTTTTCTGATCTGTCTATCTACGAGTATTATTCCTGTTAATAGTTTAGCTACGTCATCATACCGCAGCTGCAGACAATCTTTTGAAATCTATTTTATATCAAATACGTACAAAATATATATTGATATTGATATAGGGATCGCTATATATCACGTCATATATACGTATCTATCTAATAAGCACTAAAAAAACGTATTTAAGTCATCTCTCCCGGCAGTTGATGAAGCAGATTAGACCTCCCCATCCGCGACGTCGCCCGCAGGCTACGGACGATTGCGAGCGCCTGAGCCAGAACGGGGAGCAGCCAGCCACCTGTGTTCCGTTTAGGCTTCCTCCTCCACGGATCCACCTGTGTTCGGAATTCGGGTGCGTGGCGGCGCGCGGAAAGCTCTGAATCCGGGCGCGACTTGCCTGCCTTCAACCAAAGCGCTCCTTTTTGTCTTTCTGCCGCTGTAGACGCGCCATACGTAGCCGCCGTCGCCTGTCCGCAATCCCTGCCCCGCCGCCGCCAAATCGCCACAGCCGGGCGGGTCCCTTCCTCAAGCCGGCGTCAGCTTACCTCCGCCCGGCGGCGCCGTTCTAAAATCCGCTGGACCCCGTATTTCCGTCCCCCACCTCCGACGGTGAGTCCATGCACCCTCTCGCTCTCCTCCGTGTTCCTCCTCTGCTCTGCTAGTTTCTTCACAGTGCCTTGCTCTTGCTCTGTTTGATGCTCTGCTCACACTAGTTGATGCTCTAGCGCTCCCCTAGTACGTTTTAACTTTCTGGACCTTCTTCATAGTTCATAGAGTCAGTAAATGCTTCAACATGTACGTTGGCTTTTATTTTTAAGGGGCTGTTACTTGGTAAAGTAAGCAACTTTATTCCCAGTTCATTGGGGAATTATTGTATGGGCTCCTACCATTGGCTATTGTTATGTTATTTCAGAAGATGCATAGGTTACAAATCATTGCATTTGCCCCATACGTTGTTTCTTTACACCTGATTGAAGAGAAAACATAAGTGCACAGTCCAACATTGAATTATTTCAGCCGTTGGCCTTTTGTTATACTATACTAGATTATCACCTAGTTGCCCAAGATGTCCAAAGGTAACCAAACTTCTGTACAGGTGTACCTACAGTAAAACAATTGTTTTGTGGAGTACCCTGCTTGAATAGGCCTACATGTCATTTGCTTTGTTTATACGACTTCCCACTTCTGTTATCGTAATATTAGATTACATTACATCTAAACATGGAACCTCTCCTTATTCATCACTAGAATGGGGAACACTCTCATGCTTGGAAGAACTACAATGGAACACTGCCATGCAAAACAAATCTGCCAAGACAGAGCAACAGTGATCGATTTCAACGTTGTAGGCCTCGGATTCTGAGAGCTATATCAGAACACATCCGTTCTAAGTTAAACCTTAAAGATGGGCCAGCAGACTGCAAATTTCAACTGTGGAGTATTCTCCTTTGCAGTGCAATTTCAGAACACGCCCATCATAAATCAACCTATGAAAAGGGTGCAGCGAACAATCAATTGTATGCTGTTCTGATCACGGTTCTTGTATCTTATTACGTCCATCATGAACAAATTAACAAAAAGGACATAGCAAGTGATCCATTTGAAAACCTTCCAGAGGTATGCTAATGTTCAATTCTCATGGTTTCTCTGGTTTGCATATTACATTGTTAAATTTGTGTGCTACTCTTTATCTAAAAAAAGCCTGTGTGCTACTATGATATTGTTTCTTCCGCAGGACATCCGTTGTACAATCTTATCAAAGTTATCTCTGAAAGAGGTTGTAAGAACTAGTGCTCTTTCAAGGAAATGGAAATGCTCATGGACAGTCTGTCCCAAGCTGAGATTTGATGGGACTACAATACGTAGCAAGAATATGCATGGGAAACAACAATATATCCAAAAGTTCATCAGTAATACTAATGCAGTCTTGGCACAATGCCATGGCACAGTGGTAGAAGAGCTTGCGGTAAAAATTGATTTTGACTCCATTAGTTTTGCTGTATCATCATGGACAAAGTCCCTAGCTTTTGATTTGACACCTGAAAAATTTCGCGGTCGTGTCGATCGGTACAGATTTCCATTTGAACTTTTAGACATTGGATGTATATACCGTTTGCAGCAATTTCAACTCAGCTTTGGATATATCCAGCCACCAATGAAATTCAGTGGTTTCATGAACCTTAAAAAGCTTGATCTGCACCGGTGCATGTTAGTGGACAAGATCTTGAAATCTTCTTGTCAAAGTGTCGTAACCTGGAGTGGTTGAGTATTATTAAATGCCATCTCAGTGATGAACTAAAGGTTAATGGTCCACTTCCACACCTGCTATACTTGAACGTTGCATGTTGCGAGATAACAAGCATAGCAATACATGCTGCGAAACTCACACATTTTGTGTACGATGGATGCCCAGTGCCTATTGACCTCAATAAATCTTCAAAACTGAAAACTGCAGACGTGTCTATCTATATAGTAGCTCTTGAGCAAGTTTTCACCGAACTTGCTAATGTGCTTATAAATGTGGAGAATCTGACCCTTGATACTTCCTGTAAACCACCAGAGGTTTGTTGTTCTACACTTTCAGATATGATTTATTGTTTCTCCTTTTCACCGTGATGTTTGATTTACTGTCTTGCAGCTACCCTGTCTAATAGATCACCGATGCAAGTTTCTCACCTGAAGTTCTTAAAATTGGTGTTATTCTTTAGTGAAGATGTTGGCACCCTTTCTTTGATCTCCTTCCTAAGGTCTGCTCCTTTCATTGAAAAGCTCGAGATGCATGTAAGTGCTCTGGTTTCCTCTAATGTATATGTGACTATTATTCCATGGCACTGCCATATAATGTATTTGTACTATACTACTAATTCATATTACTGAAGTAGCTATTTCAAGCCTCAGCCATTAAGGATTCATCTCTTGTCCCTGGTCCATATCCTAATTTCAAATAGTCAATTAAAAATTGGATGCCTTTTAGAGACTTTCCTATAGCAGACACATGTCTTCAATGAGCATTCTCTCCATCTGTGCTTGATAGGAAGCGCTTTATCATAGAGCATATATTCCTCTGAATCCAATATGCCGACACCAAATATTGATCAGTCAACGTTTTTGTGTGATGGGGATGAATGACTAGTGGTATAGAATCTGTCAATAATATCAACAGAAAGGTTACAGCAGATACCAAGTATATCCCAACAGGTTTTACTGAAGGTGCAGGAGAGAGCTGATTGATGCAGATGGAACTGTAGATTTGTTTACTCTTCTTGGGGTTTAAATGCACCATCCTTGCTTGAAATTAACTATTGTGTCTTGAAAGAGAGAGAACCATTCTATTGGTTTGTTCAATAGATTTTTTTTCAGTGGCTAAAATTTTAATTGAGTAACATCGTTAAAAAAAAAACTCGACCATAGAGGGGAAGACACCCCCTGGTGCATTCTAATAAGAAGCTGTACCAGGATTCGAATGCGGACCGGAAAGGGGAGACCCCCGAGCACACTGCCCTAACATTATAACTCCCAAGCACACTGCTGTAACTAGTAAAATCATTAACAAGGTGTATATCAGCATTCATCGGCTTGCTCAGAGACTGTATTGTGAAATTTGATTGAGTGAACATATCTGCTTTGTTGATTCAGAGATCATCAGGATGAAATATTTTATTTCTCTCCATCACGTCCTCTTATTTATTGTTTTCCCCTTTAAACTACTGCCTTTGATTTTTGGGTACATAAAGAGCTCTTGTTAAGCTTCCAAAAGGTCTTAATTTTGTTATTCCAACTTGCAGTTTAGCATATTTGCCCCTTTATATGTGGGAGATGAACCGATCACGAGATTTCCGCAGCGTCCACACAATTATCTTAAAGACCTATTCATTACTGGATTTGAAGGATCCAGTGGCCAGCTTGAATTCCTTTTGTACATGGTGGAAAATGCTCCTGCATTGGAGATTTTAACTATAGATAGGTTGGATATAATAGTGAAGCAAAGGCGGTGGGAAGATGGTGAAAATGAAGGAGATCAAGCGGCTTCAATTCATAGAGCAGCCATAAGATCTACTGAAGGAAAGATTTCACCCATGTGTTGTATAAGATTGCCTTAATGGTAGTGTAACACGCCTAACGATCCCCAACTGCCCAACTGCTGCAGGATCGGATGGGGGCCGATCTGAGGGGTTGGGTGACGGCGGCGTGCTATGTGGCCGCCCGGCTGAGGGTGGCCGGCGGCGGCTTGGCTGCTGTGGTCGGCAGCCTGGCAGGGAGGGGCGGTGGCCTAGCTGGAGAAGGTGGCGGCGGCTGGGAAGAGAAGAGAAGGGCGGCGCAGGGAGAGAAGGGGAAGGGAGAAGGGATAAAGGGATTAACCCTAAACTTGCTTAGTTTCTCATTAAGCGTCTCCCTCATATATATAAGGGGGGTTACAATCACTAATGGGCCTAGCCCAATAGCCTAACTATCTATTAAGGCTAAATTATAACAAATCGGCCTATTGCCCTTTACTAGCCACTAACTGTAGACTTAGGATGTTGACTCCTCCTAGTGTAGGTCTTGCCGATCATGACATCTCTCCCTGCCTGAAGAATTAGCTCGTCCTCGAGCTAAAATTATGGGTAGACTTCTCGAAACAGCTCAGCATCTTCCCATGATGATTTGGCTGCTGGCTGGTTCTTCCATTTGATCAATATTTGCAGTTGGCCTCGGTAGATTTTGGATTTCGACATGAGTTCTGGTTCTGGAACAGCTGTGCCTTCATGCAGGGTTGGCAATTGTGCTGGTTCTGTTGGTGGTGGCCCGTTGTGTTTCTTAAGCATGCTGACATGGAAGGCATTATGAATTCGAGTGTCGGCAGGTAGGTTGAGGCGGTAAGCAACAGAGTTGATGCACTCGTTGATCTGAAATGGCCCAAAATATTTAGGGGCTAACTTCCCTTTCCGTATTGTGGCTACTGCTACTGTTTTTCGAGTCATCAGTTTGAGCCATACCCAATCGCCTATGTTGAACTGCCGGTCAGTATGCTTTCGGTCATAGTGCTTGCTTTAGTAATCCTGAGACTGTTGGAGGCGGAGTTTGGTTTGTTCCAGAAATCTATCACGGAGATCGTCAACTGATTGTATTATAGCATCACCTGGGCTGTACAATTTCAATTGTGGAGGATCTCTTCCATAAACCAGTTTGAATGGTGTTGTTTTGATGGATTGGTGGTATGTTGTATTATAACAGAACTTTGCCCAAGGAAGCCATCATATCCCGTCTATGGGTTTGTCACCGGTTAAGCATCTGAGATACATAGTAATAATTTTCCTCCGATTGATAGTCAGATTGTGGGTGGTAGGCTGATGTCATCTGCAATTTCACTCCTAACAACCGGAAGAGTTCTGTCCACAACCTGCTAGTGAATACCACATCTCTGTCGCTAACAATCGAGTGGGGTAATCCATGGAGTCGAACTATCTCTGAGAAGAAGGTGTGAGCTACTGTGGTTGCTGAATATGGATGGGCCAAGGGGATGAAGTGAGCATATTTGGATAGACGATCCACCACTGTTAGGATGACCGATTTACCTCCCACCTTTGGTAATGCCTCAATAAAGTCCATGGATATATCTTCCCAAATTTGTTCTGGTATTGGCAGTGGTTGTAATAATCCAGTTGGATGAAGATGTTCCGTCTTGTTGCGCTGGCATATCATGCAATTACTGACGAATTGTTGGATAGTCTGTTTCGCTTTGGGAGTGTGCAAAGTCAGTCTGAATCTATGGAGTGTTTTCTCTGGTCCTTCGTGAGTAGCATCATGAATAACGTGAAGTATATCGTGAAGAGTTGGAGAGGATGCAGGAACATGTACCTGCCTTTTGTAAAGAATGAGGCCGTCCTGCAGTTTTCAAGATGGAGAGAGTCCTTTGCTGATGGCAGCAACAATTTTTGCGGCCTCCTCATTAGTGGATACTTCTTCTTTGAGCTGGTTGAATATTGGAAATTGGATCTCTGATAATGACATTAGTGATGCTGCAGTCTCTTTCCGGGATAAAGCATCGGCCACTATATTGTGTCTGCCCGGTTTATATTCAAAGAGAAATCATATCCTAATAAGTTACTGACCCATTGATGTTGTGGGATTGTCGATAGTCATTGGTCCAGGATGTACTTTAAGATGTAATGATTTGACCTGATTATAAATGTGCAGCCCCAAAGGTAGGGTCTCCAATGCTTAACTGTTGTGACTAGACCAATTAATTCTCTTTCATAAGCTGCTAATTTAGCATGTCGTGGAGCAATCATGCGACTGAAGAAAGCGGTTGGTCCTGCTTCATGATGTAGCACAGCGCCAAATTCCACCGAAGAGGCATCGCATTCGACAATAAATGGTTTATTAAAATCGGGCAGCTAGAGTACCGGTGTTGTAGACAGAACTATTTCAGTTGCTCGAATGCTGTTGTTGTCAATTCTGTCCACCTGAAACAGTCCTTTCTTAATAGCTATGTGAGAGGTCTGGCAATGGCGCCAAAATCTTTGATGGATTTTCTGTAGTATCCTACCAATCCTAAAAATCCCTTGAGCTGTTTCACTGTTGTTGGTTGGGGCCAAGAGGAGATAGCCTGTATTTTCTCTGGGTTGACTGCCACTCCTTGGTTTGATATAATGTGGCCTAAGTATTCCACCGTTGTTTGGCCAAATGAACATTTAGATTTTTTGAGATATACTGCACTCTTTTGAAGGATTGAGAATACCTTTTGTATGTGGTCCACATGTTGGTTTCAGGTTTTGCTGTAAATTAAGATATCGTCGAAGAAAACCAGGACAAACTTTTGGAGGTAGGGACCCAATATATCATTCATAAGTGCTTGGAACGTAGAAGGGGCATTGCACAAACCGAATGGCATAACCAGGAATTCAAAGTGGTCATGATGGGTTCGGAAAGCTGTTTTCTCAATATCATCTGGGTGCATGCGTACCTGGTGATACCCGGAGCGTAGGTCTCATTTAGTGAATATTTGGCTCCTTCCAATTCATCGAGTAACTCATCAATGATCGGTATTGGGAATTTATCCTTGAGGGTGTTGTCATTGAGTGCTTGGTAGTCCACGCAAAAACGCCATGATCCATCTTGTTTTTTGACGAGTAGTACTGGTGATGAAAATGGAGAGGTGTTGTACCTTATGATGCCCTGTGCCAGCATATCCTGTCACCGTTTCTCTAATTTAGCTTTTTGGAGGTGCAGGCAGCGGTAAGGTCTAACAACTGTGGGTTTATGGGATCCTTCGGATGAATTCGGTGATCATATCGACGTTGGGGTGGTAGCCCTTGAGGATCCCGAAAGAGATGTGAGAAACTAGTCAGTAGTGCCTCCATTGTTGCTGTAGGACTGAGTGTGTGAAGCCGTGGTTGATCAGGGTGCGGTTTGCCCAAACTGGTCCAGATGATTTGACGTCCATGGCGCCAAAATTTCATTGTGAGGTTGTTGAAATCCCATATGATTGGACCAAGTGAACTCAGCCAATTGACGCCAAGCACGAAGTCATACCCTCCCAATTTGATGCTGCAGCAATCAATATTGAAGATTTCAGTGTCAATCTGCACTCTGAGATTATTGTATATGCCCACATTAGAAATGCCGTCTTTGTTTGCTACTGTCACTGATAGGGAATTTGGTGCTCTTGTCCGTGGCAGCTGAAGGTCATCTGCTGTGTCAGAGTCAATGAAATTGTGTGTAGATCCTAAATCCAGTAGTGCTAGGAAGTCACGGCCGTTGATGGAAATCTGTACCTGCATAGTCGGGCTGGTGGTGATCCCTGTGACGCCGTTGAGTGATATCCGTATGTCGTGTCTTTCATTGCATAAGGAATGTGATAATTCTTTTTGTTTGTCCGATATATAAAATTTAAGGGCCATTGCTATCACTGATTCCAGATCAGGTGGTTGCTGAAGTTGTATGTCTATTTGCAATGTTGATGCCAGTCCCGCTATATAAAGCATAACTTGCTGAGCGGTAGACAACCCTGTTACCTTGGTTACCATGAGGAGGAATTGATTTGTGTAGTCATCCAATTCTCCTGTCTGATGGGCTGAAGTAAGGTCGCCGAGGTGGTTGTGTTGTATTGGTGGGCCAAAGCGCTTGTCAATAGCCTGAGAAAATTGAGGCCACGTTGGATGCCCTATTTCTTGTTCCCATCTAATGAACCAAGTTAGAGCGTTGCCATGCAGATGAAACGCCACTAGATGCATTCGTTCCTCCTCGGTATTCTAGGCAGCAAAAAAATTGTTGCATTTGTACAACCATTGTGAAGGTTCATCGTTCCTGTTGTATTCAGGGAATGAGAATTTGTGGGAGTTTGATGATCACCTCGACTGTTGTTGATCTGCTTTCTGGAAATCCTTGTTGAGCTAGGATTGGAGGGGTGCCTCCAATGAAGTGGTCTGCACGATGTTGGTCGGCTCTGGGTCGTGAAGCGGATTCTGGTCCGGTGGAGGAGTCGGTAGTATGGATCGTTTTGAGAGTGGCACATATTTATGTTCTTCCTCCTGATTGGAGAAAAAAATCGAATATTTTTTCCAAATGATCGGTGATATCGTTGATGCTCTCCATGGAGTTGATGACGACGTGGCTCTGAATACCAGATGTAACACGCCTGATGATCCCCAACTGTTGCAGGATCGGATGGGGGCCGATCTGAGGGGTTGGGCAACGACAGCGTGCTGTGTGGCCGTCCGGCTAAGGGTGGCCAACGGCTTGGCTGCTGTGGTCGGCAGCCTGGCAGGGAGGGGCGGTGGCCTAGCTGGAGAAGGTGGCGGCGGCTGGGAAGAGAAGAGAAGGTTGGCGCAAGGAGAGAAGGGGAAGGAAGAAGGGATAAAGGGATTAACTCTAAATTTGCTTAGTTTCTCATTAAGTGTCTCCCTCGTATATATAAAGGGGTTACAATCACTAATAGGCCTGGCCCAATAGCCTAACTATCTGTTAAGGCTAAATTATAACAAATCGGCCTATTGCCCTTTACTAGCCACTAACTGTAGACTTAGGATGTTGCCTCCTCCTAGCGTAGGTCTTGCCGATCATGACAGGTTACTCCTGCTTACTTGTGCTGTTCCTGGTTTTCCTTAAACCTGCTTGGTTGCTTAAAGGGTCTGGCTGTATGGGCTCAACAGTTAGTGCTCACTTGTATGTATTTAATTAAAGCTTAGATTTCTAGTTAAGTAAGCACATCTCTTGCAATGTAAAAAAAAGGCACATCTCGCAGTTTCAGGGCTTTGTGCCATCTTGTGGCCAAGGATCGGCCGTCGGTAACTATGCATGCCGATGGGCTGATCTTTCAGCCGGTTCCGTTGACGGGCCTCCAATGTTGCTTGGCAGAGAATTCAGTGAGAAATGTGACTGGTTATGCTCAATAATTCCCATAGTTTCATTGCATTTCAGACCCGGACAATGGTGATTGCAATCTCACTATAACACAGATAGATC